TTCCATTGCATTGCCCTTTGGGGTTGCTGTAGGTAATCTGGAAGTCAGGTTCTGAGGCTTCTTTATGTGTCTTCTCATTTCCGCGGGGTGGGGGATGTGCTGGTGGCACCTGTGGGGCTCACCTCCTCTGTGCTGGGAGCTGTGGCACATTGACCCAGAAGCTTCCTCTGGACTGGGAGCTGTGGCAAACTTATCCAGTGGCCTCCTCTGTGCTGGGAGCTGTGGCATGCCTACCTGGAAGCTCTCTCTGTGCTGGGAGCTGTGCACACCTACCCAGAAGCCTCCTCTGCGCTGGGAGCTGTGGCATGTGGACCCGAAAGCCTCCTCTGTGCTGGGAGCTATGACATGCCTACCCAGAAGCCTCCTCTGAGCTGGGAGCTGTGGCGTGCCTACCCAGAAGCCTCCTCTGTTCTCTATAGTTTTCTTTTTCTCCTTCCCTAAAAACTCTTAAAATTGTATGAGAAATAAAATCTTCATACACTAAAATCCTGACTGATTTTGGCTTTCACTAAATTTCACCATTATTGTAGCTATATTTGCATACTGTAAATAGTGTACTTTGAAATCCATACTATATTTTAGTTCAAATAGATTTTTTGTGTATCACAGTTCATAAATTCCCTTTTCTTCCTTAGTTACATTTCTGTGTTAGTCAGGTCAGGCTGCCACAAAAAATGCCATAGATTGGGTTCACTACAGATGTGTTTTTGCAGTGTTTTAGAGGCCAGGAATCCCAGACCAAGTCACCAGCCAATTCAGTTTCTGGTGAGGCCTCTGTCCCTCGCTTTGCAGATGGCCATCTTGTTGCTATGTCCTCAAATGGCCTAACCTCAGCGGCTTTGTATATATAGAGAGAACCAGCCCTCTTTCTATCAGATCAGGGCCCTACCCTTATGATATCAATCAACCTTAATGACTTCCTCAGAGGCTCCCGTCTCCAAGTATAGCCACAGTTCATGTTAGGGCTTCAACATATGCACTTAGGGAGAATACATTCAGTCAATAACAATCTCTAAACATAGCAACTGCCTTCATAGGTTATCCTTTAATAAACTGTTGGAGCTCTCACACAAGAACAAAAAAGAGAGACAAAAAGATCTGTTAAGTATATAAACATTGAGATAAAAAGCTTCATTTTAAAAAAATAATTCATTCTAATAATAAGTGAGTGGCATGCAACACCATTAAAGTGTTATATGAGACTTGGTCAGAAAAAAAATGGAACTACAGGAATAACTCTGAAGAGTTGGAGAGGCTACACTTATACTTGGAAGACTGGGCAGGATGCAATGAAAGCAGAGTCCTCAATCACCTCAAAACTGGCAGGTAATCTGGGAACAGACTGGGTACTGCCAGGTGGTCTTCCGGAAAAATAATAACTCAAATACAGAATGCCTCAGCAGAGATAGGCAAACTGCTTTCCTTTGGATTTAGCTAACATATGGCCACACAGTAGTCTCACCTATGATCTGTGCTTTACTACATTCCTTGAAAAATCTACTACCGATGATTACACAGTACATTTAAAAGATAGATGTCTTAACAGGGGGCCACAAAAGAAACACTCCCATTTGAAATCTACTCCCAAGCCATCATACTCAAAGATATTTTTCTTAGATTTCATCAAAATGATACTACCTGTAAAAGCAACTAACCTAAATGAAGAAGTTCTATATATCTACTTTTTAAAATTCTTGGTTTCTCTCATCTATCCTCAATTCAATTGCCAGGTTAATTCTCTCAGAACTCTACCACTCCACTATCAAAAATGACCCCTCTGGCTATGTTAGTCAAGAACAAAAAGGCTGGAGTTTTAGCTCAGTGGTTATGCCGCCTGTCTCGCAAGCACAAAGACCCCAGTTCGATCCCTGGTACCAAAAAAAAAAGGAACAAACGCATCTGTCTAGCTTTCCAGCAAGGATAGTCTGCCCTCTAAATCTTGAGGGTTCCATATCGAAGAATTCAACTAAGAACAGATTGGAAAACAATTTTTTTGGTATCAAACTGAGGACGTTGTGCAGCAGGCAGCAGCACCACTAAGTTAAATCCCCAGCCCCGAGAAAACAATTTTTTAGGCCAGGTGTGGTGGCACATGCCTGTAATCCCAACCCTGGGAGGCTGAGGCAGAATGATCACCAAGTAAGAGCCCCACCTGGACAATTTAGCCATTTAGTGAGACCCTGTCTTAAAAAAATTTTTTTAATTGGGCTGGGGACGTAGCTCAGTGTGAAGACCCCAGGTTTAGTCTCCAGTAGCAAAATTTTTTTAAAAACTTAAAAAAATAAAGTACAAGGAAGGATGTGTGTAAGTTATATACAAATACTACACCATTTTCTAGTAGGGGCTGAAACACCTGTCAATTTGGGTACACTGGAGGCAGGAACAATCTTGCCTGCACACTGGGACATGAGGACTTCTCCATTATAAAAACACGCACGTTCAACCTTATCTTTACCATCAAAAGCAACACTCCTCGTGTTGTCCATTAGTCGCATGTTAGCTATAGAGTGGATGCATGATGCCCTGTGACCCCAGTGAAGTTCTTACCAGTAAGTAGGAAATCCAGCACCACCTTTCATCATTAGCAGCCCTCTTGGATATGATTGCTCCACAGCCTGTTGCATTTCAGTGTGCATTGTGTTTCTACTGATCTCTCTCAGCTTCTTCCTGAATCAGAGGAAACTCATCTGTCCTTAATAAGTAGCAAGAAAGATGAAGAGGTAAAGGGCATTGAAGTGGAAATGTATAGTTTGGGGTATGATTGGAAAATAAAAATCCTAATTAATTTCAAAGTGATTGCTGTTAGTGACGTGCTCTTCAGGAGAGTGTAGTTAAGTCACACCTTCCAGCCATTTCTGATTTAGATTCTCTGCATTACTGAAACTTCTGAGAAATATTACCTGTGGATTAGCTTTGTATAATGTTTCTATTCTCACAATGACTTAAAATTAAACTGGGTTTTTATTGAACTACCTCACACTAATTTTCTATGCTTTCCCAAGTAAGCTGTTGCCCTTAGTGTTAGATCTTTACTGACTGTGAATTATAAATGTGCATTGAATACTTTATAGCCAATGTTGACAAAATACCAGTAAGTATGTAAAAATATAGACCTTGCATCAGTAAGAGACACATGTAAAATCTTTCACTGTGTATCCTGGAGAATTGTGTTAGATGCGCTTATTGATATTATTACTGTCTGTTTTGTAAGTAGAAACCTGCTCATGATACCAGTCCATTCTTTACATTTTACAAAAGGAGTGTATCTTAGTAAATTTTACGAAGAAATAAATTACTTTTGTAGGCCCAATATTTGGTATATTTTTGAGAAGCTGTTAATCTTTTAGCCAAATGATGAAGTTAAACTGGAGTAGCTGTCTACCTGGACTGTGACATCTATTTTCTCATTACAGTCTGTCCTGTTCAATAGGTTTTTGAACCTGGAAGCCTAAGTATGATGACTGACATTTGCTTTTCTTCCTTTCCATGTTGTCCCTCCGTCCCTTCCCTTCCCTGTGTGCCATTCCCTCTCCTATCTTTTAGATGAATCAAAATGGGGCACTTTGTAGGGAATACTGAGATCATTGTTGTGGTTTTTAATCATTCATGCCCTAGTCATTCAACATGTACCACTGGAATGTAAACAATGTTTTCTAGTATGTCAATTGGTTACAATATTTTAAATAAAAAAAGAAAAGAGTGGTATATTAAAAAAAAGCAAAACTCCTCCAAATCCAGGGCTCATCCCTGCACCCTGCCTAACCCGCTCTCCTACTCAGTCTCTTTTCTACTTGTCATGTGTCTTCTCGAATGACACCATACATGCATTGACTTTTCCTTCAGTCAGTGGCTCAGTATTAAGAACCTGTCATTGTCCCAAACCTCAGGGGGTCCTGTCCTCCCACATTTTTGTGAACTGTTGTCTATAACTTAGACTTGATAGTCTCACTACTTACTGTCCTACTTTACCCACATGCCACCTTACTATGTAATATTTGTGGAAAAGATTCTTAAAGGCTTTTTTTACTAGTTGGTTCTTGGGTGGAATCTTCATTCAACTGTAGGTGACTGTCCTGAGAAACCTAAACTTACATCTCTTTTATAACCCTCCCAAAGCACACATCGAAGGGCTAAACACATCAATATTATGATGTTAAATGTTTTTCACCGGTAAGCCCTGTGAGTTTCTTACACTGTAGCGCCTTTGCTAGAGGATACAAGGAAAAGCAAAGGGCTTGGCACCCTTGGGCTGTTCCCCCAGCTGCCTGGCCGGGCCCTCGCTGCAGTCAGAGGCGCCACTTTCGGAAGCCACTTCGCGGCGCAGGCCTGAGCTGCCGCCCCGTCAAGACCTCGTCTGTCACCTCCTTGGCACACAGCCTCGCCTTTCACACAGCAAGAACACACGCAGCCTCACGCCTTCAGGCGGCTTCTGTTTGGTGAAATGAGTAGGGTACCCAGGCGATCGCTGAAGAGCAAGGTCACCTCAGAGCAGAAGGAGGCAGATGTGCACGTTGTCACACTGAGTCAAGCGATCGGTCAGACCGGCGTGGTGGCAGGGGGTCCTCCAGGTCCACAGCCCGCCCCGATCTGCCCACGCAGCTGCCTCACGGTGCGTGTGGATGCTGCAAGTGCGGGTTGCACGGCCCGTCCAGGGCCCGGCAGAGATCCGCAAGTCTGCTCCGATGTACTCACCTGACACGGAGGTGGCCACAGGCAGCTTGCAGGGCAGAGCCAGAGGGCGTTGACCTCCTCAGAGGTCCCGGCGCCCCGGGGTCCAAGCCCTGCCCCCCCACCCCCGGGCTTGACCCCGGCCTTGACCCCGGCCTTGACCCCGGCCCTGACCCCGGCCCTAACGGTATTGGCCGCCCGCAGATCCAGGGCTGGAGGGGCACGCGAGAGGGGCAGGCGCGAGGCCGCGGGCGGCTTGCCAGGCGATTGGTGGGGCGGGGCGCGGGGGCGGGCCGAAACACGCACATGCGCATGGAGGCGCGGCCGGCACGCGGCGCTCGCGCTCCCTGCTTAAATGAACCGGGGCACCCCGCGCCCGCCACTTTAGCACAGCCCGAGCCCGGCAACGAGCAGAGCGGCTCGTGAGTCCTCCTCGCGCGTCAGCGCCCCTCGGCTCCCGAGCGGTCGATGGGACGCAGCGCCGCTGAGCGAGAGGCGGCGGCCGTCGGGGCACGCGTGCTGTGCGGGATCCCCCCGCGGGGCTCGGCCATGGAGGGCCGCCGGACCTGAGCCTGACCGCGCGGGGAGGCTGGGACTGGCCATGGGGACGGAGCGAGGCAGTCGCTGCGCCGCACCCTGAGCGCCCTGAGCCCCGCCTCGGCCCCTCTGAAGCGCCGAGACGCTCGCGAACATGGCCCTGGAGCAACTGTGCGCGGTCCTCAAAGGTAAGCGCCCCCTGCGGGCGAGGCCGGCGCCCCGTCGCACCCCTTTGTGTGGCGGCGCCCGCACCCGGCCGGTTGCTTCGTCCGGCTCCTCGGCTCTGCGCGCCCAGCGGAGGGGACGGAGCCGAGGACGGAGCCGAGGACGGAGCCGGGCACGGCGAGGCCCTGGGCGGCCCTTCGGCTGCTCCTCTCGCGCTCCCCCGGAAGATTCCGCACTCCGCTTTGCAAAGTTGTGGGCTCAGGTCAGGGCAGCGAAGGCCGAGGCTTCTCAAAACGTAATAGCAAAAAGTAATTCCACCCAATCCACGAAAACCCGGCTGAGACGTCGTGGAGCGGTTCGGTTCGAAGAGCACCGGCGCCGCCGCCCGGCCTGGTCCCACCTGCTGCGGCCGCGGAGGCTGCGGCACCACTGCGGGCCCCAGGCGCTCGCGGACCCAGCTCGGTGGCCGAGGCACCCGAACCCCGCCGCCTGCCCGGACTCCTGTTTGTTGCGCGAAACAGGCAGAGTCGGCTCACCAAGTGCACGAAGCTCTGAAACACACTAGTCGGTTTGCTTTTCAGGGAGATGTTTTTTTAGATGAAAATTCCAAAATATAGGTCCTTTAGCTTGGGATACAAAGTTGCTTCTGAAACTCGAACTGAATAAATCCTTTTATTCCCGGGGAAATCGGCACCACCACGCAATGAAGGACTTCCCTTTTTTCCCCTCCGCTGATTTAATTGGAAATTGCATGTCTGAATACTTGTAATGTCAGAAGATAGCCTCTTTTTAAACTGAGAAGGATGTCAAAGCTTTGTATTAACGTTGGCATGTGTAGCTCATCACTGTATCTTAGCATTTATACAGTAACAAATGTTGGTGTTTTTCTTAACCGCCATTAACACTTTTTGAAATTTGTTTTATTTTCAAAGTTCAGTGTAATTTTAACTGGACAAATTAAGTTTTGGACAAATTTACGTTTCAAATGGACAAATATGCTTAAATTATTAATTGATAATTTAACCATTTAATTTAAAACACTCAACTATATACATATATTCAGCATGGACTAAAGTAACTAAAGTAAGACTTTCTAGCTGGTGAATATTTCAGTCAGTGCATAAATCATTAATGGTACCTACACTGTTTTACAATTAATAACACCTCTGAAATTCTGTAGTCCTGTATAACTTCTTAATCATTCCTTGGACATTAAGATTTTGTTTTACTCTTTCACAATAAACTTACATGGGCAATAGGATTTCTGATGGTGCTGCTTAGCCACATTTTCTTTTGTTCGGGTTGTACACGCACCATGCTAGAATTACCAACATCCTAATGGCAGTCCATTTGAGAGTACCCCCTTCCTTCCACCGGCAGCTGAAGAAATCGGAGATCTGTTCACCACCTTTACCTGCACAACTTGACAAGACTGAGTAGTTTGGGCAGAGTCTCAGTAGATGCTCCGCTGATGGGGAAGGGATTTGCGAGTGTGCCTTGTCTTTGCGGTTGGTACACACTGCCCTCTCTGGCCACTGCGCAGCATTCAGTTGTTGGACCTTTCAGGCAGGGATTCTGTGGTGAAGGCAGAGCTACCTACAGAGGTGTGGTGTTTGGCTCTTCTCTTTTTAATGTCACTCACCCTACGCTATTTTTATATACTGGCGTATTTTAAAGCTCAAGCTAAATTGTTGTAGGTTCACTACAGAGAAAGCAAGTTATTTTTAAATCTTCTGTGGTATGTGTAAGTGCCAGAAATTGGTATGTGAATATTAAAAAAATTAACAAAAATTGCTTCTTTTTCTTTTTCCTGTGGGACTGAAAACAAGAGTGAAGGAATGACTTGGGTTTTACCACCCGCCTTGTATTGCTAGATTTTTTTTAAACCAAATACATGGACAGTTATTACCTATGTAAACATAAACAATTTTAATTTATAAAAATTAACTTTCATATAGGTTCCCAGTGCTATTATTCATTATGTGTCCTAAAGCATGAAAGAGTATCCCTCAAATATCCTACGAGGTGAGTTGCTTCAATATCACGGATTCTTATCCAAAGCAACTATTTAACATTTGCATAATAATGGATACTGTCTGTCAGAAACCTTGTTTGGAATATTATGGTCAGTTTCTACTAAAATGGCCATAATGAATGTATGAAGTTAGTTTTTTTAAATGCTATTGATTCTTTTTGTTTTACTTCAGCATCGAGGGCAGGATAACTCCTATTAGGTTTTTTTAAACCCTCTTGTGTGTGGTACTAAATAATTCACTTTTATCTGTTTATTATCTTTCCAGGTCTTACAAAATTTGTGTTAACTGTCTGAGGTGGCTAGGCATTATAGTCCTTTGAAAATATTACATTGAGATTATAAAATTATTTTTTATTATACTGCACACTTGCTACAGGAGGATCCTATTAGACTCAGTAATATTTAAAGCTACATAAACTGTGGTTAAATTTGTGATGTAACAGAGCATCAATATCCCTGGACACTATATTTTAAAAGTCTTGTCTGAGACTGTATTATTTTTCACTCTTTACTCTTCAGCTTCATGCAAGAACATAAGCTAACTATATAGAAATATAGTACTGAAAAGCTGTATATGAATAAAGTTTTTAACACAGCCTTATTAAAATTAACTTTTTGCATAATTATAGATACTACCTATCAAAAGCTGAGGGGTAGCAAAGCTGTTTTAACATATAACAGTAAATCCTTAAAGCCGGTTTATATTTTGAAGCCAGACTTTTAGGAAAAAATGAGTGCATTACAAATCAAGTTCAAATCGGGGAAATTCCACACTATAAGTAAAGTTCATATAAAATTTTGAAACAATCCAAGTTCTGTTGTGCAGTAGTACCGCCAACAAATTTAGCGTAAACTCCTATCTTTTTTTTCTATTCATGGTCCTGCAGAATAATTATTGATGTTCCAAAAAATGCATCTGTGAGGCACTTTGAGATCTTCGTTATAGTCTTTTCATTGGAAAGGAAAGTCCTAAAATGTGATCTAATCCAGAATGTCTCTAAACTTCCTTTAATAGAACTCCTTCAAAGGCAATCTTGAGAAAGTATTCATTGCTGTGATTTGTGGAAGGCCTTCCAGTAACTTCAGACATCTGGGTGACTACCCGGAAATTGACACTTTTTGAAGTTTGTTATATTGCTTACAAAATTACAGATTACAGTACACTAACATGAAAGTTGTTTTTTTTCTAATCCAAAGGATATTAAAACGTGTTGGTTTAAATTTGCCAAGTGGTATGTTGGAAATTATAACCCTGGAAGATACCAACTACTCTTTCAGGTATAATCTGGTCTTGTTAAAATTTAATGACAATTGTGGACGTCAGAAGAAGACTCCTTTAATTCATCAAAATAGAGCCTACAAACTGCCGTCTCAAAACATTTTAACAAAGAGTTTCTCACATTCTGCGAGAAATAGAAAGCACTGTGCTGCAGTTATTCTTTCCTAGAAAAGTGACTGGCAATGAGATTAGCATGTGTAGGCTGGAGTGTTCATAAGGTTCACCTTCCATCTTCTTTCTCATCTAAAAAATAAGGTTGAATTTGATTAATTTGAGGTACTTTTTTGTCCTTTGGAACTTAGTTTATAAGAAACAAGTTACTGCTGTGTCAAGTAGTACATGAACTCTAATTGTATTCCATTCTGCTATTATAGAAAACATGACTGTGCAGGGAGACCAGTTAGGGTTGTTACATTCTGACATCTTATGTTAGATTTAACAAGTCTTAAGTGAACCATTTAGAAACTTAACAGGAAGTTTTAGAAAGAGACATGTTTAATTACTAACAAGATTAAATTGAGCCAGCTTGAAAAAGATAATAGTAAATGTTGGGTATCTGAAGAAGTGAGGAGAAAATACCTGTTCTTTTCCCATCCCCTGATTTGTTTGGGTTTTTTTGTTTTGTTTTGTTTTGCTTTTGGTACCGGGGATCAAATTCCAGACCTTGTGCATTCGAGGCAGGCAGCAGAACCACTGAGCTAAATCCCCGGCCCCCCCATCCCCTGATTTATGCTCAGATAAAAAGCTGAGTTGTACATGTGGCTTCTGTTACACTGAGATGTGTGTTTGTCAGTTAGGTACAGGGCTGTCTGTGCAGTGTATACTCAGGATCACACTTAGTCACCTCATGAATTCATCTAATTTGTATGGAGTGCTGCATGGGCCAGGCAATGGAGAAGTGTCAGTGAATCGGACCCCAAAATGCAATAGTATAGCAATAATGAAAACCAAGGAGCAGGAGAAAATGTAGGGCTGCTTTAGAACTGGGAGGCCTGCAACTCCTGAGTGATACAAAGGAGTCAGCCATGCAGAGATAGATTCCAAACAAAAGGTACGACTTAGTCCAGTGGTAGCAAACCTATGGCATGTGTGCTGCAGTGGGCATGGAAAGCCCTCTCTGTCAGCACGTAAGCCGGGTCACCCCAGCAGCAGAGCATCTGACTTTTATTGTTAAACTAAAACCTCGGTATTTAGGTTTAATTGCAGTGTTGGCACTGTGCCATAAATAAGTGGCTTTGGAGTTGCAGTTTGAGCGCTTGTCTCTAAAAGGTTCGCCATCACTGGCTTAGTCCTTAAGGCAAGGATTAGCTAGTCATGCTCAAGTAATGGGAAGAAAGCCTTTGTAGCCCTTGACAGTAATCAGTCAGGTTCTAGATCACACAGGACCTCAGAAACCACAGGTGGGAGAGTGCATTTATTTACATTTAATGGAACTCTACCAAAAGATTTTATGAAAGGTTGTAATATGATCTGCTGTGTATGGTAATCTCTATCTACTGCATGCACAATAGGCGATAGGAGACTGGGGCAGAAACTTACAGTTGTCTCCAAATACTCATTTTACCATTCTTCAGTAATTCTTTGAATTTTATTTAAGTACACAATTCCTTAAAATAAAGACCATAGTTTCCAGCTTCACTTGGGGTTAGGTATAGCCATATGGCTATGGCTAGCCGGGTTAGATGTTAGTAGAAAATGATATGTACAAT